TGATGCTTGTTGCATCTTTCTTGTTGCATACCAAGCCTGAACTGCAATATGGGCAATGTCAATTCGATAAACGAGAGGTCACAGCGATATGGAATTTTCTTAAACTCTGTCGGAAAAAGTTTCCGGAATAATTTCTTCTGTAATGATATTATAACATGCAACATGCAACTTGCAAGACTGCTGCATGCAACAAAACATCCACCAACTTTTTGAAACAGCTGTATATCWTACCAGAGTCAAATAGATCCCTTGCAGTACGTCAGAATGCAGCTCAATTTGGAGGACATAACAATAGCTTTCCAATTCTCAAGAGATTCGTTCGTTTTGTCCTCCAGATTGAGCTCCTTTGATGTCACATGTAAGGGGTCTATCATTTTAGATTACTAATATTGTATATCTTTCAATCAATCCTCAGATTCCTTCTCCATTTGCATTGTTCTTTCTGAACGGTAAGAAGAATCTGATGCCTATTGCTATACAGCTTTTCCAACAAAAAGGAGACGATAATCCGGTAAGATTTCGAATGTTTATAAAAATTTTTTTTACTGTACGCATTTATTTTACTACAATTATCTAGGTCCTTCTCGAATTTCCCTTGTTATTCAAATTTATTTAGCCTCATCGTGAGAATAATAAGACAATTGGTGCTAATTGCAGTACAACCACATCAAGAGAATACGAACTAAGAGAAGGAATCTTCTTGTCCCATCATGTGCAAAACTTTGATGCTAATTTTAGAATCTATTCTAAAAATATCATCCAATGATATCATTTATTTGACCGTTTGATTTTCTGCACGCGCATAGTACGCGCGCGCTCTACGCTGTTTGCTAACGTTTTCTTGTGCTTTTCTTATGTTCAAATGTTCGAATCTGCCTCAAGATGACGATATAGGTCGAAAGCTTTGGAAAATAAATGTAAAAATACTCCAGAAAGTTGAACAAATTACTACTTCAATTTCCTGTCGTATTTGTTAAGCTTTCGACGTGCACATTCATATTCAGGGCAGAGTCGAAATTACGGAAAAACGTAAGCAAACAGCGTAGAGCGCGCGCAGCAAATGCGCGTGCAGAAAAACAAATGGTTTAAAAATAGCATCAAACTGTGCACATGATGGTTACAAGGCTATACAGATACTGTAGGATTCCTTCTCTTAGTTCATTTTCTCTTGACCACATTAAACGGGGCCACTTATACCAGTCAAACAAAATGTAGAATGAAAACAATGCGTTCTAAGTTTGGGTAGTATGCGAGTGCGAAGAAACAAACAATCAAAAGATTGATTCTAAAAATAGAATAAAAGATTCTAAAAATAGTATCAAAGAGTTCTCATGATGGGGCCCTGGGATAGGCCCTTTGCAGCTCAGTAATCACGTGCTGATTAATTCACTGGGAGCAAATGAATGAACATCTTAAATCCCATGGGTGAAATATACTGGTGAGCAAACAAACTTTCTACAACCTGTTTTGAGAGATTGTAATAAAACTGCATTTCGTAACACACTGGTTACACATCGTTTCATTCAGTTCTTTACAAGTAGCTAAAAAGAATCACCAATTTAATATAAAAACAAAAATTTTGAAGTCCAGTACAGACACGTGACCGTTGACTGCAAATGGCCTATTCCTTCTCTTAGTTCATTTTTTCTTGGTCATATTTAACACTCGAAATATGCCCACTGTAATTGCAACACAAGAGTGTTTTTGTTTTCCAGGTATTCTTACCCAGCGATCCCTGGTATACCTGGTCACTTGTTAAAATGTGGTATAATAATGCAGAGGCCCAGTACCATAGGGCTTGTTCCCTCATCGGTAAGTGCACTCATTCATTGGAATGTAGTTATTTTTCTACTTTGGTGTTTCTTTGTCTTTTTGACAACAAACTCCTGCTTCCATGCGTGAGGCGCAGTCCTGTTTGTTTTAAAGATCATGCTTAGAAGGTTTTTTCCTTCCACACTCCTCACACTCTATCCCTACCTCCCTCCCTCCCTTTGTCCCTCCCTACCTCCCTCCCTACCTTTGCCCCTCCCTCCCTCCCTCCCTTTGTCCCTCCCTACCTCCCTCCCTACCTTTGCCCCTCCCTCCCTCCCTACCTTTGTCTCTCCCTCCTTCCCTCCCCTCCCTCCCTACCTTTGTCCCTCCCTCCTTCCCTCCCTCCTCTCCCTCCCTCCTTCCCTCCCCCCTTCTTCCCTACCTCCCTCTCTAGCTTCTCCTTCTCTCCTTAGCTCTCTTGCCAGGCCCGAGATTTTTTCAAAATTCGCCAGTAAAATCTAAGGGGCTAAAAACCTAACGTTGTTCGCTATGAGTACATCCGTCGGGCTAGACATCTATAGACATCCCATAGTCAAAAGCTCTTGTCTCTTGTCTTGAAAACAAAAAAAGTTGGATAAAATGGTTTAACTTTCTCACGTACTGAATTATCCTGGATTCCAGAGGGGCTTTAGTCTAATCGCGAAGCGAAGAGGGTCTAGGACTTCTCGAAAATCTCGCGCGCTGATTGGTCGAGAAACTCAGATTATAACACGAYAATCACCTCCAGCGATAATCCAAAATGGCGGCCAGCCGCTTTGTTGCTGTTACCGGGGAAAAAAGTCTTTTATCTTTTCTTTTCTTTTTTTTCTTTTGAAAGAATCACCTGTGTATTTATACTAAAACAATTATTCACCTTTCACCTCAGGCTCAGTGAATATCGGGAATAATAACCTCAACTTTGTTTCGGTTATTATTCCCCGATATTCACTTTGCCTTCGGCGAATAATTGTTAATTAATGTACGTAAATTAACAATTATTCATAGGTCTTCTGTCATGTTCTTCTATAGATCACAGGTTTAGACAGACAGTGTTGTTCTCCTTATCCCTCTCCCATCTATTTCCGATTAAGTTAAGAAAGAAGTCGAATATTTTTATCAAAAAAATTGTTTTTTCTTAAGGCAAAGTAATTAAATGCGCGCGCTCCATTTCACACTTAATCACATCCTTTTTGTAATCACTACCAAATCCTGCAATCTGTTTGGTTCAAAAGAGTGCGATTAATTCCCAAATCGCATCCTCAGCAGCTCTTAATCGCATTCTAAAAAAAATTTTTAAACAATAAAATAAAACAAAAAAATCAAAAAAAATATTTTATTTAGATGTTTTTTTTTGTTCGCATTCATAGTTCTTCTACTTTAAACTGATTATTCTGCACTCTTTATTGTGCCTTTTTCTTGTGTATGATTACAATCAAAAAGGATATGATTAAGWGGTAATTGAACTTCGTGTCGTGCAATTTTGGTCTAAAATCAAACTACGCGGTCGTGTGATTTTGTAATCGCGCGTTTGATTTCAGACCAAATTGCACTCCACTCAGTTCAATTACCATCATTAATCATATCTTTTTTGTAATCACTACCAAATCCTGCAATCTGATTGGGACAAATAGTGCAATTAATTCCCAAATCGCATCCTAAAAAATAATTTTTTTAAACAATAAAATAAAACAAAAAAATCAACCAAAAAAAATTTTTTTAGATGTTTTTTTTTGTTCTCTTTTAGTTCTTCTACTACATTAAATTGTTTATTCTGCACTCTTTATTGTGTCTTTTTCTTGCCTATGATTACAAAAAGGATATGATTAAGTGGTAATTGAACTTCGTGTCGTGCAATTTTGGACCAAATTGCTCTCCACTTAGTTCAATTACCATCATAAAACTTCCTTTCAAAAGTTCGGCTCAACAGGGAACTAGGTCAGCTTCATTACATGTTCACTGCATAATTATTGATATAATTATACATTCTCATTGATCCCATATAGGTAACTGTCCAATTATTTTCTTAATTGGACAGGTCTTGTTGATATGGGATTAGGCAGCTATATAATTAATAGGTAATGGGATTTCATGCTCCCCAATCAAGAAATAATTAGACTCGAAAAATTCCACTGACTGCCAAATTGGACTCGGCCTACGGCCACATCCAATTTTGTCAGTCCTCGGAATTTTCCTCGTCCAATTATTTCTTAATTGGACAGCATGGAGTCCTATTACATATACTAATTAAATAAATAAAAACATAGATTCAATTGAATAATCATACGTTAATCCTCAGGATACACGCATCTGTTTATCGAAGCCGTCGCCGTGGCAACCCATCGAAATCTTTCCCCCTCACACCCAGTCTTTCGCTTGCTTGCTCCATTCATCCGGGACGTCATACCCCTTAACTGGTGAGTCATAGTTAAATTACAATAGATTAACAACTTTATCACTGGCATGTTCATCATCATCATCAACATTATCATCAACATCTGATATCATCATCATCATCACCATCATCACAATCATCATATTCATCATTAACACCATTATCACCATATGATCCAGTCTGAGCCGGGGCTAGACCCGGACCACAGCAGTGAGAGGTGAGCGGCAAACCACTACGCCATCCATGCCATCCCAAAATACCGGATTTTCCAGACAAAGTGTAAACTCATCATCACCATCAACTCTACCACCACGATCATCACCGTCATTATCTTCACTATCAACATAATCATCATTATTATCATCATCACCAACGCCACCATCATAACTTTCATGATCTTCATTATCACCATCATCATCATCATCATCACCATCATCATCACCATCATCATCATCATCATCACCATCATCATCATCATCACCATCATCATCATCATCACCATCATCATCATCATCATCACCATCATCATCATCA